AAAACAGTCTTAATGATTTGTGACTAACTACAACCATACATTCACAAAATTAATACCATACCAGGCATTGCAATTTGCATAGACTTTTTTTTCTCTAATAACAACAAATTCTGCATCATCTCAACCTACCTTTTCTCAAATAATGCCTCTCTCTTAAAGTGCACTCAATCTTACTGTATTTGCACAAAATAATGCCCATGGGCGTTATTTTGAGACATAAATTTAAAGCGAATTAATAATCAATTTAAACAAAATTTTTTTAAACACCGATGTTTTTTATAATTTTATTTATCATTATAAAATAATTATAAATTTTATAAAATCACAGTTTAGATCATTTTAAATTAATTAAAAATTAAATTTATCACTTGCTACTGGGTTTGTCTTTGTTTGTTTTTGTTTGTTTCTGTCCGTTTCTATTCGTTTTTTCTTAAATATTAGTAAATTAAACACCAATAAACGTTATTTCAGAACATATAGTTTGAAAAGAGCTAATAGTTATTTTAGTCGAAGACTTTTTTATACAAAAAATTATGATTTGTACTCGGCTAAATTAATTATTAGCTCGATTCAAACTATTTGTCCCAGAATAATGCCCTCAAAATAAAAAAATAAATAAATAGATTTATTCAGAACTGTAAAATATGCTTTTTCTTATTTTTTTTTTACGAAATTCTATTTTTGTTAAACAGACCATATAAATAATGTTATAACCTGCAATTAGTAATTTTCAGTCAACTAAATTAATATTAAGGAGTCAACAATTAAAGTCTTACAAGAACAATATCCAAGAATTTTAATATTCATTATCTTAAACATTTACATTGATACATTGATATTGAATCTCGCACTTGTAAATACTGTATTTGAAATGTTGTAACTAGTAATATTGGTGAAATTAGGATATTTCGCTAGGTGAAATGGTGAATTAATTGGAGAAATGGTGAAATGGTAAAGCGGTGAATTAGTGAATTATTTTTAGAAAAAAAAAGAAAATAAAACTAGAAAACTTATTATGCTACGTTCTTGGCTTAAGCGTGACTACATCAAATAAAAATTAAAATGTTTAGCTAGCCAGTAATCTAATTCATATAAGTTTTTTTTTTTTTGTAGAGCTTAGTGGCAAAAACGTTGTTTTTGACCCAGTTAACCTATTTTTATTGACCTACCCTAAAAAAAGTTGGTTTAGCGATCATAAAAAATTGGGGTGTTCGATACAAGTCTACTGTAATTGCAAACATAGTGCAGGTGATATAGTGATGATCATTTTTAAATTTTTTTATAATACTGCATGATTGATAATAGCGTAAATAGTAAAAGCATATAAAATTCAAATTGCAATAAATCTTGAACCAACAAGCCCACATAAATAAAATTATATTTACGAGTTTATTTTAAAGTGCTCTTTAAAGCAACAACGCTCTTTTTTGTTTTTTATTTTTTTTTATTGTCTGCAGCGTAGCGATGGACTCAAAGTGCCAAGATTCCATTTTTGATGCTTTTTTAATAAAAATATCAAAAGCGTAACTTTGAAGTTTTTATGCAATGGCGACATACAGTAAATTCAAAATTACATTTTTGATATTTTCATTATAAATTCATCAAAAACGAGAATTTTGGTACCACTTTGAATCCTCTGCTATGCTTTAGACAATGAAAATAAAAAAAAAAAGAGCATTGTTGCTTTAAAGAGCACTTTAAAATAAACTCGTAAATATAATTTTATTTGTGTGGGCTTGCTGGTTCAAGAGTTATTACAATTTGAATTTTATATGCTTTTATTATTTATGCTATTGTCAATCATGCAGTATTATAAAAATTTTGATAAATGATCATCACTATATCACCTGCACTATGTTTGTAATTAGATTTGCATCGAACACCCCAATAAACTACCCCAGGATCGCCAACAAAATTTTGCAGTCACATGATGATCGACGACAAATTATCCAATTGCTAATCACGATTTAGTGTAATGTAACACGATCAGGAAACTTCAAAACAAACATTCGATTTGTCAAAAATCGCTTATTTCTTAAAAACCTGCATAAGAAATCACCGTCTGCGCATTAACAAAAAGTTTTTCTTGAGCGATTTTGCTATTAGGATTTCTAAAAATCCTATTAAAATATAGACCCTACCCTAACTTAAATAATTTTTGTCGATATCACATGATTGCAAAATTTTGTTGGCGATCCTGGGTAAGATCACCCCAATAAGAGATATCATAAGTCTTGTGATCTGCGAATCTGCAATAATTTAAAAGCGTATTACTGTATATGAGAATGACGTAATGATTGATGTTTTATAAAACAAAGTAATGGAGAAAAGAATATTTTTTTTTGTTTACGATATATTATAAAACGGTTTGTTACAATCACTTTACGTATTGCGACAAAAACGCACTTGAGTATTATAACAATGATATTCGTAACTTAATTGAAAATATCCATACAAAAATATTTCCTCTTCTTTCTGTGGGAGAAATATGAGATTACCATTTGAACAAGCAGTCAAAAATTGACTTTATTCGCTCCCTATATCATAAAATATCCCAAAGTCAAAAAAGAATTAATGAGGCAATAAGCACGAGCTTGTGATAGTTGAACGTATAGAAGTTGTAATGCATTATAAATAACATGATTATTTTAAATTATATAATTTTAAGTCATCATGGCATTTTAATAGTTCTTCTCTAATGATCAAATCGGCGATTTTTTTTTTTTTTTTTAGAGTGAGTCAATAAAAATGGGTCAATTGGTCAAAAACAATGTTTTTGCAGCTTAGTGAGTTCTGCAAATAAAAAAAAAAAGTTTATTTGGATTGGATTACTGGATAGCTAGAAATTTTAATTTTTATTCATAAAATCTACACAGTCTCGTAAGGTCATTTTCAAGGCAAAGGTTCTTTTTTTTTTTTGAAATGTTTTGTGCACGAACAGTCATTTTTGCTATAAATCTTTTTAGATTTAAATAATAATAATTTTTTAGTTTTCTTGAAATATATTTTGTTTCGCTATTAGAATTTCATCAATACTCTCATCAATTATATTTGCAGGTGCTTAATTATGTAAGCCTTTAAGATGTAACCCAGTTATAAATTTGATTACGATAACTGGTCCTAAACTCTAATTGCAACCTTCTTTAAATGCATACTCTAGAGTTTACCATGTGAATATTATATGCTACTACTGTAAACGGCCATATAAAAGACCTCCCTAGATATCAGATCCCCTATGTATCATCCCCGGGTCTACAACATAGATTGAGATTTTTGTAAAGGTAAAAGACCCGGGTATACTATAGGGTCTAAACCGATAAAAGACCTGGGTATATTATAAAATACAAACAATAAAAGACCCAGGTATAATACCAGAAATAATATCTGCCACCTACTGATAACAAAAAAGAACCAAAATAAGAAGTGTTACAAGCTTTTTGATATCTTTTAATACTAAGCTTTATTTATTGTAAATACTAAACCAGATTTCTGTTAGTAGTTAAAAGCCATATTTTTACCATCAATTCTATTTCTACAATAATATTCAACTCTATTCATTCATTAGCGTCCCCTATCTCCACTGATAGACTTTATTTCCACCTTTAACTCCATTCGCATTTTCTATTTCTGTCAATTTCACATCCAATTCCATTTCTATAACAATATCCAACTTTATTATTCCGTTACATTTCACATATTTGCTGATCTTTGACAATAAATGAGTGCTTTATCTTCATCTTTTTCAACTCGTTTACTATTGTCATGGTCAAAATCAGTTCGATAAAGATCAATATTCGAAATACGTAGTACGTGGGGTTATAATCGAAGAATATTGAATTAAGAAGAGTGTTAGAGACATAAGATAACATAAGATAACATAAGATAACATGAGATAATATAAGATAACATGAAATAATACGAGTGTTTATGAAATTGGTTTCACATTCGATATAATCTTTCGTGATCACGTGGATCTTCGATCAGGTTACGAGTGACTTGTTATCCAGATCGATCGGGGTGATTATGCTAATAATAACCATCAATTATGAATCAATTTACGGCACATAAAATATGTGTAATAAAGTGAAAGTCAAATACCATATGATCGAATTATGAGGTAATTAGAGAAGGATAAGATAGTTAAATATCGTATGATACCAAATTATGATGTATTTAATTTGAGAGTCAAATCTGATGTATATAAGAAATTTAAGAGAAATAAAATAAGGTCTTACCTTTCACTTCCAATAAAAAATAAATACTGAGTAACGTAAATTCCAACTTAATTGAGTAAGTGGTGAATTGCCTTGTTAAGTCGGCAGACCTAATCTTAGTCAGTGAAGGCTGCGACAGAAGAACCTGGGTACCTCCGTGGTTTTCAATAAGCCACTCAACAGTACCACAACACTTGGAAGTCTTAGAAGTGAAACGGGCACTTACCAAGCCCTCTCGAACATAATAATTAATATTCTAACACAGTCCGAAATTATTTTTTGTTAAAAAAAAAAAAAAAAATACTGAGTAACGTAAATTCCAACTTAATTGAGTAAGTGGTGAATTGCCTTATTAAGTCGGCAGACCTAATCGTAGTCAGTGAGGGCTGCGACAACTATGCTGATAAAAAAAGTTAAACCACAAGATCAATTTGAATATCTAAAAATTTACTTCTTCTTACATATCTAATCATAATTGTAAATTGTTCAGAAAGAAAATTATATTTATAAAAAAACATATTTTGCATAAAAATAATTTTCTAATTATTTATTAAAATGAATTATACATGCCTAATACGTAGTAAGTTATTTCATTTCACAATTACTTTGTGTATTAAAATTTTATAAAATTTCATAATTACCTGTTGCATAATAAATTACTTAACAATTACATAAAAATTAACACACTATTTGGTCGATTTCTGATGATTTTTTCAAATTTGCAAGTGATTCATTATATCATTTATTAAACGATAAATTGGACAAATTATTTCTCTCTTATTAACTCTAATTCCATAAATTGCTATATTCTATTGCTTCATCTTCATAATATGTGTCTTCCCCATCTTCTTGATCATCCAGGTCATCAACTTTATTCGGGTTATTTTTATTACTATCCTCACAACCATCGTTGCTTCTTTCTTCTTCATCCAAGCTATCACTATCATTATCATCTTCGTGATTACCATCACTTTCATCTTCATTATTACCATTGTCACTATTATTTAAGGTCAAATCAACAATGCCTTCATTATCACTAGTATTGTCTTCGTCGGCATAGATATAATTACCACAGTTATTTCGAGATTCTGGGTTGGCCACCCAATTGTAATCAAACATTACATCTTCTTCGGACCCATCTTGGGCAGTGG